TTGAGAGCAACATATAAAGCCGAATAACGAGCAATAGCTTTCTTGCACTTCGCTGAATTTTCATTGATTCGGCTAGAATCATTAGCAACATGTTGAGTCGAATCACAAGTTTTAGCACTCGAATGCCTTGATGAAATTTCACTAATTCGGCTATGGTCATGAGCGAAATATGAAGCTGAATTGTGGGCATTGATCTTTGCATAAGTTGCTGAATTTTTATTAATTCGGCTATGGTTACTAGTAACACGTGAAGCCAAATCATGAGTATTAGCACTTAAATATGCTGCTGAATTTTTATTAATTCGACTCAAGTTGGGAGTAACATATGAAACCGAATTATGAATAGGACCATTGGCATATGGTGCTAAATTTTGAGAGAAACTAGATAAATAATTAGCATTGTTATAACTGATTCTCTCATTCATTGGCATGTCTTGTGGTAAAACCACACATTATGAACTTATAGCCGATGAATAACGATTTACATGTTGTATGTTGCTAGTAGCATCAAAACTCGAAGAATTTACAATTGACATCGGCTCTTGACCATAATATTCATAATTATGATGTGTATGATGAGGAGTATTAACAAAAGTATCAGCCGATGCAACATATCTAGTGTCATTATGACTAGCAACACCAACATGAGAGCTCATAGAACTTGCAAAATAACTATTAAAATCATAAGATGTATTTGCAAGTTGTACCTTGGGGTGATTGTAGCAAACCACTAAAGGATAACCAACGTGCTTGTGTGACGAAGAACCGGCTAGTTTTCAGGCAAACTAGCAAAGAAGCCGTCGAAGCTCTCGCCCTGGAGGGACCCCGTCAAGGCAAGGACATCGTCCGATTACCCTAGGGTTCCATCCTTGATCGTCGGATAAGGGATGAACATCATGGAGGTTGGAGAGGAGAGTAAAAGGGTTGGAGTAGAGGTTGAATAAATGGGAACTCAATCGGTCACATACCCCTTATTTTATAAGGGGTAGGGGTTGTCTTATCCCATAGAAAAATCAATACGGTACTATTATCATATCGCTTTATGGATTTTTTCTTAGTTTGGGCCAAAATTGTCATGGCCCTATTGAAATTGACATGGATCCGAATTGAGTGTCAACACATGCCTATCGCATGACCGGCTGATGATGTAGCCGCTGAAATTAAACAACTTCAGTTGCATCGTCATCATCATCAGCCCGGCTCTATCTGAATGCCTATCGCATGACCGGCCGATGATGTAGCTGCTGAAATTAAACAACTTCAGTTGCATCGTCATCATCATCAGCCCGGCTCTATCTGAATGAAATTTAGTAGTAGTACCTGCAAAAGTCTCCTCCGATCCGATCCGATCCCCGGCCACATTCCACCACACGTCCGGTCCATGGATTCCGAGTCCCCATAAAACAGACAAAATTCCTGGCCATTGGATCTTGAACCATTATGTCCATATATGGTGTGGAACCCTAATGAGAACATCGCCGCAAGAACCCGTCCTTTTCTGTCTTCCGATTACACGTAAATAAATGCAGTACGCCTCTGGTTTCCCAATTCCCATTGATCTTCAGTTCGACCCTCAAAGCATGTTTTTTTCAGGGACACGGCTGCTGCAAGTCCCTCAAATTAAGCATGTGTTTCCTTTTTTTTCTTCTTCTAAAGAAGATATGAAAGTCCACCGTTTCGCTGTCAAATGAAAATATATACTAGTCGTAGCTGTGTACATGTTCAGATAACCATCAGGATCATTCGCTATGTGCAAGAAAGGAGAAACGTTAACACTAGAATACAGGAGACTACTACATGCTTTCTGAGCCATCAAATTCTATCCCTGTATTTTACTAACGGTGAATCCCGTCAGTTGATATATATATATTTTTTCATTGCCTCAACCTTTGATTACAAGCTGTAGCATCTGAACTCAATCCCGTCAGTTGATATGGCATACTTTCCTCTCAACCAATCCCCATGGCAATGCAGACTTCAGTCTGGTAGTTAATTAACTACCAAGTGGAATTAGTGGTACCCAAAGCTCTGTAAGTCTCAACCCAGGATGCCTTTTTCGTCACATGAGTTTGGCTGCTGCACTGGTTCACCAACCCCTTAATTTTAACTTTTCTTTGATATTGTAGTGTATATACTTCACCTACTACTGCACCATGGTTGCAAGGCTAATTTCGGCATTAGAACATTTCATGGTATCAAACCACAGCTATCTTGACATTTAATTTTCTCCAATTAAACGTTTGTGTCAGCATCAGGCCATGGTAGTATGTTTAGTTCCAGAGTTCCAAACAATTTATATCAGGTAATATAAGTCAGTCGGCAACCATGCATCTTGCTTGGCATAAATTTATTCCTCAGACTTAATAATATTTAAGCTGACTTGAGATAGAGTTGAAATACGCAGGACGAAGCTGTCTCGGGATTCAGGACAGCAAGACAGAAAATATCAAGCAGCGTACTGCACACGTATACGAGTATTACGTGTACGTGTGCATATATATGCAATCCTCGAAAATAGTATCTAATTCCTTGATGTGAGCTACGACCAGCTAGTACAACTGTACTACTGCACATCCGTTCCAAAAGAAAATACTAGTGTCTCCATCAACATTGTGCCAGCTGAAAGAACCTTTCGAGATATTTTACCAAATTGAAATGCCTCCATTTCTATGTGCTAGAATCATCGACCGTACGTTCTAGGACTCTCCGGTTACCATTTTGTCAACCGTACCTGCAATGCAGCTTATTCGCTTGTGAGCCCTGCCATTTTGGGCCTGAATAGTTTGAAAATATGCCGGCTTATCGTCTGACGCTGCAGCAACCCATTATACGGCTTAGAGGAAAGCAACCCATTATACGGCTTAGAGGAAAGCAACCCATTATACGGCTTAGAGGCAACAGCTCCGTTGAATTACTTAATTTAAGATTGTGAGGTGTTCTAGAGAATGATTTATTCAAGGCTCTTGTATTCATCTTCACAAGGGATTGTGAAGAGCAACTATAGTAAAATTGCAGTTGTTGTGTATCTAGTGATTAGTCGCCTTATACATTAGCGCTCATGTCGGAGCCAAGCTTGAGGGCTTATTGAGCTAGTAGAGAATAAGTAGCAATCTTCGGACACGTCATGACCATGAGTATATTGCCGGCGAGCAATTCAAAGATTATGAAGACAACAGGGAGTAGATTATCATCAACATAATCTTCATCCAAGTGCCTTCCTTGCTCAGTGCAGTGTTTTAAAAGGTTTGGATGTTGTTGGGAATGATGAAAGCTCATCGAGGATGTTTCTTTGCCTCTTCGTTAGACGTGTCTTCACTTTGGTTGTTGCTTCACTTTGATCGCTAGTGTTTCTAGTGATTGTGTTGGTATTGTAAGTAGGTCGGTGTTGGCAAAGTTACCCTAGGCTTTGCAATAGCCATTGCGTTATTTCCTTTTCTAACCTATTTTATGGAGACGTTGTTTACCTAATTTAATTTACTTCTTTATTGATATAATCGGGGGCTCTCTTGTTCGGTTCATTTAAAAAACGATGGTGGCTGGTATCCCTTGTTGGCTATTGTTATTTAAACTTTTCGTCAATTCCAATATATGTCTGTGTAGAAGGATTTATAAAGATTGTATGTGTATGCGAACATTCATAGGAGGTTTATGCACTGTTTCGAAACCAAAAAAAAAAAAACCCTTACATCCAAGATTGTTCGGTCGGCCGTCGGCCACAGGCCACAGCCACACCAGACAACACAGCTGATGCAGGGTGCGGTCAGCCATACGGGGCCGTCGCCGTCTGCCACCAGACCCGCATGGCACCTGATGACCACGTCATCCCCTCCCTCCCGGCTCTGGGGAAATGAAGAGAAATGAAAATCCCGATCCTGCCCCGCCGTGGCCCCACAGGAACCGGTTCACCTCCGGCCCCCACCCGCCAATTCGCCCCTGTGGTCCCCACCGGAGCCTGAGGGGCGCTGGACGCCTGGACCTGGACCGGGAAATTCCGTCGCCGTCGTGCGGCCGCACAAACAAAGATGCAGGCGCAGAAAGAGGGCGTGCACTACACAGTAACGATTCCACCACCGCCTGCCTCCGTCTGTCTCTCTTCCAGTCTTCCCCCACTTTCTTTCAGCAGAATCCATCTGGTGGTGCAGTGATCCTGCTGAAACAGCGTGCGTGTCTCTCGCTCGCCCTCCGCGCCTCTGCCTCTGTGAGCGAGTGAGATCAGACAGAACCACCAGGGCAAGAGCAAGCTGCTCCATCTCCATCCACTGTTTTATTGGCGGGCGCACTGCTTCTGCGACGAGAGATCGGCCTCGCTCGTCGGGCTAGTGAGGTGGGTCTGCTCGTTCATGGCGTCTCTGTTGCAGTAAAGCTGTTTCTTTTTTTTCCTCTCCATCCTCCTCTTGTTGAATTCTTCCTTCCATTCTCTCTTGTGGGGACGAGAGGGGAGGGGAGGCACGGCAGCGCTCGTTTGTCAAGTTGCGGCTGCGAGCAGGATGGATGGTTGGATGTGGGTGCTGCCGTGTTGGGTTGGGTTGGTGAAAACGGATGCCTGCCGTACTGTGTTTCTTACTTACTGTATCACTTTCTTTCTCGCCATTGGGGACGGACGGGCGGGGCGCCGTGATGGCGATCTCTCTCTCTCTCTCTCTCTCTATCTGCAATGGGGATGTTTCGTCCGTAAGCTCTGCCTCCCCTAGTCCCCTACCCCGGCTCGCCTTGTGGTGGTGCGAGGAGGACTAGCTAGTGGCTTCCGTTGTGGCAGCCATGCGCCCAAAAAGATTGCCAATTGCGTGGTCGATTCATTAGAGTACTTGACGGAAAATACTATCGTTTTCTTCTTCTTGGTGCCCAGGCTCCTCTCCGCTCGTGGCCCGGGTTCCTTGGCTGCGCTGTGCTGCGGCGCCGGGTGCGGGTGCGGCTGTCGCTTGTGCTGCTTGCTTCCCCCGACTGGCATGCCAAGATTCTGAAGTCCAGTCAGTGAGCTGCCTGCTGCTGCTTGTCCGGGCATGGAGGAGGCGCCGCAGACCGACGACGACGGCTTGATGGACTGCGGCGTCATGGAGGACGTCGCGGTCGGCGACCTGGATCTCATGGAGGAGCTGTTTATGGCGGCGCCGGGGTTCGATTTCTCCGACTTCTCGCAGCCCGGGGCCAGCGGCGCGTCCCCGGGGGCCTGCTTCTCGCCGCTGTTCGACATCTGCAGCACCACCACCACGGCGACTCCCCCGCCGGCGCCGGCACCAGCTGACGACGACGACAGGGACCAACAGGCGGCCACCCCGCCGCCGTGCCGCGGCTGGGTGTTCCAGCCCCGGCCGGAGGTCGAGGCCACGGTGAAGGAGCGGCTGCGGCGCGCGCTGGAGCGCATCGCGTCGCTGTCGCAGACGCAGCCCGGGGAGCTGCTGGCGCAGGTCTGGGTCCCCACCGTCATCGGCGACCGCCAGGTGCTCACCACGTGCGGCCAGCCCTTCTGGCTCGACCGCCGGAACGAGCGCCTCGCCAGCTACCGGACGGTGTCCATGAAGTACCAGTTCTCCGCCGACGAGACCGCGCGCACCGACCTGGGGATGCCCGGCCGCGTCTTCGTCGGCCGCGTCCCCGAGTGGACCCCCGACGTCCGCTACTTCTCCACCGAGGAGTACCCGCGCGTACGCCACGCGCAGTTCTTCGACATCCGGGGCAGCGTCGCGCTCCCTATCTTCGAGCCTCGCAGCCGGGCATGCCTTGGCGTCGTCGAGCTTGTCATGACCACCGAGAAGGTCAACTACAACGCCGAGATCCAGAACATCTGCAGCGCTCTCAAGGTAGACAATCGCTGCTGCTCTGCAGGCTATTATGCCGTTACGCTCTTAACCTGTTTGATGAAATGCCCTTAGGAAAAGACGTGATAACTACCGGGCATGCCAATCACCGAAGTAATCAGTCTTTTCACCTTCCTTTAAGGGCGTGTTTAGTTCCGAAAATTTTTGGCTTTGGGCTACTGTAGCACTTTCGTTTGTATTTGACAAAAATTGTCCAATTATGGATTATTTAGGTTTAAAAGATTCGTCTCATGATTTCTCGGCTAACTGTGTAATTAGTTTTTTTTTCGTCTACATTTAGTACTCTATGCATGTGCCGCAAGATTCGATGTGACGGGTACTGCGCAAAAATTTTTGGATTTTGGGTGAAACTAAACGGGGCCTTATTTGGTGATGTTCTTGTCTCAGTAAGATTTTGTTTCCTCAAACGCGCAGGAGGTTGATCTCAGAAGCTCTGATGTTTCGAGTGATCCCCGTGCAAAGGTAAGCTGAATGATATCGAGATCGTAGAGTTATGCCGAACTGTTGTTATCAGTGACAGATGTGGCTTACTCCTTGTTAGGTGACTGATACTTCTTACCGAGCAATCATACCAGAGATTGTTGACGTTCTCAGAACTGTTTGTGAGACACACAAACTGCCACTGGCCCAGACATGGATACCCTGCATCTGCCAGGCAAAGAGGGGAAGCCGCCACACTGATGAGAAACTCAAGGACTGTGTGTCTACCGTGGATGAGGCGTGTTACGTCCGCGACCTAAAAGTAAAGGGCTTTCACGAAGCTTGCTCTGAGCATCATCTGTTCAGAGGCGAGGGTGTTGTTGGCAGGGCCTTTGGAACGAACGAGCCATGTTTCTCCGAGGACATTACCACCTCCAGCAAGATCCAATATCCTCTCTCTCATCATGCCAAACTTTTCAGCTTAAGGGCTGCAGTGGCCATCCGGTTACGAAGTATCACCACTGGAAGCCTTGACTATGTCTTGGAATTCTTCCTGCCAGTGGACTGTATAGAGATTGAACAGCAACGAGCCATGCTGAATTCTTTGTCCATTACAATACAGAAAACATGCTATACGCTTCGAGTTGTCAGCTTGAAAGAACTGGTGGATGAAGGATCAATTGAAACAAGTGCACTAGCTCCACCAGAATATGCCAAAACTATGCATGAAAACCTAGATGAGGTTTGTAGTGGCATTGATGTTCCTGCAAGGACAGCATCGCTGGAAACTTCTAAGGAGGTATCCTCATGGATAGCAAGCCTTGTGTGTGCTCAAAATAAGGGAGTGAAAGAAATGGATGGTGATCTGCCATTTGGATTCAGCAAGCAAGAGGATGAAGGGTTTAGTGTTACAGCTGGCTGGCATACCTCACCAGTAATAGGGCCTGAAGGTAGCATCTTTTCAGGGTTTAAGCAACATGAAGAATACAAGGTCAAGGAGGTAACTTGTCTCAGAGATCCAAGCTCTTCCAACTTGGAAAAAACTGTAGAGAAGAGACGGACTAAGATGGAGAAAACTGTTAGCCTGGAAGAACTTCGGAAGCATTTTGCTGGTAGCCTGAAAGAAGCTGCAAAGAATTTAGGAGGTAACTTCTGACCCACATATCTCTACAGTTCTTTTCCATTCCTCTTGTTGTACTACGTACCTCTCTGTATTGATGAATAGTCAGTAGCCTGTAGACAGCCTGCTGAAATACCGCAGCATCTTCCAGTAACCATAACTAGAATTTCATAACTCAAATAGAACTGGAATTTTCTTATAATTGTTATTATTGTTGAACAATGTGTGTAGTCCTGTTAGTCAAGTGTCAGGAGGGTTACTTACAATTAAATTTACTCCGTAAATTAAATTTCATTACCTTTTGCAAGAATTCCAGACGGAAGGTAGATTGGTCAATGCTTTGTTCACTATTTGTGTAGAAACATCAATGCTTTCCTCTATGCTTACCCATTTCAATCATTTGTTTCAGTGTGCCCCACTACACTAAAGAGAATATGCAGGCAGCATGGAATTAATCGTTGGCCCTCACGGAAGATTAAGAAAGTTGGGCACTCCCTGAAGAAATTGCAAATGGTGATTGATTCAGTACATGGTAGTGAAGGAACTGTTCAGCTCAGCTCAGTCTATGAAAACTTTACCAAGACCACATGGTCAGAAAGAGAGTTACAGGGGGATGCCACTTATCCGTTGTCTGAGGAAAAAGGTCTCTTGGAACCTTCTGTTCCTGATCGGCATTGCGAGGGCAGATTCACCTCGCATACTTCTGGTTCTAATTCCCTCTCCCCCTCTTGCAGCCAAAGCTCGAATTCCAGCCATGGTTGTTCCAGTGGTTCGAAATCACAACAACATGGCAGTGCTCCTCAACTTGCAGTAAAGAAAGAAGTTCTCATGGAGGTGAATCAGAGCTCCACACTACTCAAAGATGCGAGCCATGCGGAATTGCAGATGTTTCCTGAAGAAAGACCTGTCACCCTGCCTAGGTCTCATAGTCAAATGCTTTTTAGTGAACAAAAACCAGTGGAAAACATGGCAGGTATGCAAATGTCTAAGCCTGATTCTCTCAAGATAAAAGCCATGTACGGCGAAGAAAGATGTATATTCCGACTTCAGCCTAGTTGGGGATTTGAAAAGCTAAAAGAAGAAATTCTAAAGCGGTTCGGCGTTGCTCAGGAGATGCACGTGGACCTCAAGTACTTGGATGATGAATCTGAGTGGGTTCTTTTAACATGCGATGCAGACCTGCTTGAGTGTATTGATGTGTACAAGTCATCAAGTACTCAAACAGTAAGAATCTTGGTACATTCTAATGGCCAGTAAGTGCTTGTTCCTTCCTTTGGTCAAACTGGTTTGTCCTGACAATGGCACAAAGCTCATCAGGATGCAGAAGAAAGCATCCTGTCTCTTTTTGAAGTAAAGAGTTTGTTGACATTGTGCTCAGTTTCAAATAATAATCATATATGCACAAGCAGCATCTGTAAATACCTATACTCGTGTTATCATCCAATGGTCAAGTGCCTAGTAAGTTCTGTCTCTTGCTGCTTGGTGGTTGTGTGGCAGAATCGGAGAGAAAGTGATTGTTTGTGTTCCCTGGCAGCACTTGGGATTAATTTGTATGCAGTAAGCTGCATACAGCCTTTGTGATAACAGAAGATGGGACTTTGTATTTCTAGTTCAGTTTCTTAACAGTACAGGTAGTTCGTTGCATGTAACAAACTAGTGTACAGCACTGTAGGTCAGAGGGTTGAACCAGTAGGAGTTTGTCGATATGAAGCTTTGGATTAGGTTAAGCAGCCACGACCAAGGTACATCGCACTTGTAAGTTCTTTTGGATTAGGTTTGAAATTTAAAAATCGCCAAAAATTACAAGCTGTGGAATCAACAGAAGTATGCCAACGCCGTCATGTGTCGTTTTAGTGGGCATGATGAAATGTCTTCTCGCCAGTGTAAGTATCGGTGAAACTGATTCTTTCAGCATTTATTTTCCCTTCATTTTGCAAATCTCCCTACAGTGTCACTGTAATCTAATGTAGTTTTCATCCCCATATCCCAGAGCAAAAGGTGTCGAGCAGAGAGCACCTGGAGTGATGACAGGGCAACAATACAAGCTCACACCTGTTGAAATGCAATTTTGTTGGTTCAAGGTCAAGCTAGTTTTTCATGTTCTTGCTTCAACCCTGCAGAAGGGATGGTGGTTTTTTGGTATCCTGAATAATTCTACAGTTAGAAGGCAGGAGATATCTTAGTCTCCTAGACGACATTGGAGCATAGGGATTTTCCTTTGTGTCGTTATTTTTGTTCAGCAGTGGAACTCTCAAGTACTTTGAGGTAGTCTTGTGTGTAATTATCTGTCCTCAAATTTGCAAGATGTATATTTGTTTCATAACAACTCATAATCTGCATGTATGTTGCTATGATTGTGATAATTGGTTATCCTTGCATCCTGTCCGATTCCAAGAGCATTAACCGAACCTATGTACTAATAATGAGGGATTAATCGATTAAGAATGGAAACTCTGTGGCGATTAGTTGAATGAAGCTGAAGAATCAATGCAAGTGTTCTGAATCAGCAGCTAGCCTTGCTCAAGCCAAGCAACGACCATGCTGCAGAAACAGGGCCTGGAAGAATCATGGTACGGCTACGAGCGGCGCGCTCCGGGCCGCGGCGGCAGGTCCCGGTGCCCTCCTGCCCCCTGCTGCAGGGCCTCGATGTCCTCGAGCGCGGCGACGACTTCGTCCATGGAGGGTCGGCTCTTTGGGTCGCCGGTGAGGCACTTGCGGGCGAGCCTGGCGGTCCGGGGCGCGGCCTTGGTGTGGTACTTGCCGTCGATCCGCTGGTCCATGAGCCTCTTGAGCTTGCTGGCGCCGGAGAGGTAGGGCCGCGCCCACTCCACCAGGTTGTGCTGGTGGCTCGGCCGGTTCAGGTCGTGTGCGCGAAGCCCCGTCAGCAGCTCCAGCGGCACCACGCCGAAGCCGTACACGTCGCTCTTCACGTATAGGTGCCCTGCATGCATGCATGTCGTCAACGTACGTGATGAGCGCTTGTTGGCCGCGGCATTGCCGTCGTCGTGCTCGTGCAGGTGCAAAAACATACATACCGGTGGCGACGTACTCCGGCGCCGCGTAGCCGTAGGTGCCCATGACCTGGGTCATGAGGTGCGACTCCCCAGCGGGGGGCCCGTTGATGGCGAGCCCGAAGTCCGACAGCTTCGCGGTGAAATCCTGAAGGGCATGAGCCAAGGCCCAAGGACACCTATGCATGCATGCTTGCTTTTGCAGAAGTGAGCTGATTAGACTAGCTAGAATCGTGTTGGTGTGTCGGTTGCATTGCATCTACCCAGTCGAGGAGGATGTTGGATGCCTTGAAGTCCCTGTAGATGACCTGCTCTTCCAACGAGTGCAGGAAGGCGAGGCCGCGCGCCGCGCCTGTGGCGATCTTGAGCCTTCGGCTCCATGACAGCGCCTCCAATAAGTTTCTACCCCCTGCTCAAACATTTTGACTCCAAACAAATCAGACAGGATTCTCGAGTCTCGATCTCATGCAGTTCACCACCCTATGCCGTTGCCATTGCAGAGACTAGTATAATTTAATATGCCCATGAACATGCATAATGCATGACTTTACAAACGCCTTGCTCAAACTAGTCAAAATTGAGAGACCAACATGTGGTAGTCTGCAATGATAGCCTATAAAATCAAATGCGTTTCTAGAGAGCCAAATATCTGAATAAATTGCATTATGTATGTTCAACACTTTTCATTAAATTATTAGGAAGACAAAATCAACACTTCATTAAATGATATAGAAAAAAATCATGTATATAAGAGAAAATCATCTAGCATATGGGGGGCTTGCCCCCTCCCCCCACCCCTGATTGCAAGTCAGACAAAAAGCCATGCATTCATCTTCAAATGTCATGTCTAGATCGGTTAGGCTGACCAGTGACCCGGAACACTATCCAAAAGTCAATCATACGATATTACTCCTACACACCTGGAATTTGTCAATCAGAATTCGCTGAAAGTAGAATGCCATGCAAATTGCCAGTGTTAGTGGTGGCAAGGCTTCTTACTACTGAATAGATGGTTTGCCAGCTAGGCTGCCTTTGGACATGAACTCGTACACCAGGAGAAGCTCCCTGTCCTCGCTGCAGTAGCCCAGCAACCTCACCAGGTTGGGATGCGACAGTCTGCCCAAGATGTTGATCACCGTCTGCACTCGCGAAACAAGGAATTAATAATGCACATGAGAGATATATAGACACCACTGGGATAGATCAACACACCGATGAACACGCAACCAACCACAGCTAGAATGAATATGGATACGAATCAAGAGCGCCCGGGTAGTTCACCTGCCACTGCTGCAGGCCCTGGAGGCCCTCCGGGTTGTGCTTCTTGACGGCGACCATGACACGAGCGGTGCTCCGCCAGGCCGGGTTGAGCGTGCGCTCGTCGACCCAGCCCTTATAGACCCGGCCGAAGCCGCCCTCCCCGAGCACGTCTCCGGCCTGAAGCCCCGTGTGGCCGCCCGCAGCTCGGCGAGCGTGAACACCCTGAGCCTCGGCACCTCATGAACCCGTCAGTCCAGCCCTGACCCGTCTCCCTTCTCTTGCGTCCCACTCCCACGGCTGTCGCTCACCATCAGCCCCTGTTCGCTTGCTCGTATACGATCGTGGATTATAAGTTGGAATAATATTTTTCTCTCACACCAAACCAGTCAACAGTAAATAATCCACGATCGTTTACGGCCTGTCGTTGGCGGCCCTGCACATTCATGCGTCAGCACTATCATATGTCGAACCATTATTACAGCGGCGTGGCTGAATCGGTATTCGGAATTGTGCGCGCGCGCACGCCAAGTCACAAACTTTGGTAGGAATTCCTGGCGGTTTGGCAGCGGCGTCAGGGGACCCGAAGCAGTTCCCCATGGTGTACGGTACCGAGCAACGCAGCAACGCGCTGCTTCCTCTTCGCAAGCCCGGGCGCATGGGAGTCTGATCTTGTGTTCCTGGAAGCGCTCGTGTGATATCATAAACTTTGAATCTTTATCCTCCATTATCTGTCAATGCAAGGAAATGATTAAGTTAGAAATCACAAACAAAAATGCCAGTATCAATTAGATCTCAGAAACTTTGATCATTTAAGTCACAGTTACACAAAGAAATATTTACGTTTATGAATGGAAATTAAACTTGTAGACTTACTACCAAAGTACTTTCACTTAACTAGGAAAAAGTAGGAGACTGCTAACTACTGAGCTTCACTAGATTCATAACTATCTATAGAAACAACTATAAGATTGTTAACTAGTTTCCAAATATAGGTGAACTATTTTTTAAAATTATCACTAGGCTTTGAAAATTTGTCAATTAGGCTTGGAAACTATTAGCATGTAACTGTTAAAGTACATTTTAGAAACTGGTGCAGGTTTTAGAATTTGTTGAACTCCATAAAATACGGTTAGTCAGTTCTCCAAAATGTTAAGTGATAAGTGATAATCACTTGTCTAGTTGCCTATTTGAACTTTGTGTTTCCAGGTTCTAGTATGGAGTTATGCCTTCTTTTTTTGTGCTAAAAGTGCTAATTAAGTCTTCCTTTAATGTAAGCATGTAACTGTTAAAGTATATTTTAGAAACTGGTGCAGGTTTTAGAATTTGTTAAACTCCATAAAATACGGTTAGTCAGTTCTCCTAAATGTTAAGTGGCACTCACTAACTAGTTATCTAGTTGCCTATTTGAACTTTGTGTTTCCAGGTTCTAGTATGAAGTTATGTCTTCTTTTTTTGTGCTAAAAGTGCTAATTAAGTCTTTCTTCAATGTAATGAAACAGAAAAGACAGAATTTCTTGTTTCTTGCTGCGGATTTGCCTCGTCTATGGTACCCTTTCCTGTTTCTAGGGTCTCAACAATTTCATCAGCATCTGTTTCACCCACAATATCAGCTTGTTCAAGGTCCCTGCTCTGAATCCCATGGCTATCCACACATGATTGTTGGCCCCTGGATCTCCGGCAGGGGTGAGCCGACCACTCACCAGCGTTGCCGACCACACACTATGGCTAGAGGTAGAAGAAGGGAGGGAGAACAGAGCGTGCGCACACACACAACATAAACACCAGCATTGGTCGGAGCTCTGCAGAGGAGATGACAAAACTGAACTCGCTCCATTTACTGAGTTACAGTGGGAAACTATATATACAACTCTACCCATCTAATCCTAGTACACAGGTATGTCAGGCTGTTATGCTGCTACGGTGACTAGATACGACAGTAGAGCTGACTTTGGCGCCTACCCTTGCTGTGGCTACAGTGCGGCAGGGGAGCCTTTTGGCGACTGCCCCTACAGCGGCTACAGTGCAGCAGCAGGGAGCCCTCGGCGCCTGCCCCTGCCGCGCGTTCACACAGGGGAGTAACATATTACTTAACAATTCTTTCCCTAATCCTGCTGCTAACCCTAGAACCCCCTCCATGCCGATCATCTTCTTCAGCTCCATGAAGCGAAGACGTCCGAGCGGCTTGGTGAGGACGTCCGTGAGTTGCCGACCAGTTTCGACGAACTCGATGACGATCTGCCCTCCATCGATACAGTCCCTGAGAAAGTGGAACTTGACGTCGATGTGCTTGCTCCGGTCATGGAGAACCGGATTCTTCGCGAGGGCAATGGCGGGCTAGTTGTCCACCATCAGTGCTGGTGGGTGAGCTTCCACACCGGTCAGCTCGCCCAACAGCCGGCGTAGCCACAGAGCTTGGCACGCCGCTGTGGCCACCGACATGTACTCTGCCTCGCACGTGGACAGTGCCATCACCTTCTATTTCAGCGACAGCCATGAGATTGGAGCTGACCCGAGAAAAACGAGCATGCCAGAGGTGCTCCAACGTCCGTCGATGTTCCCCGCCATGTCTGCATCGCTAAACACAGTGAGCTGCAGCCTACTTTCGCCGGTCTTGGGGAAGACGATCCCCTGATCCACCGTCCCCTTGACGTAGCGCAGCAGCCGCTTCACCGTAGCCCAGTGATCCTCTCGGGGATCCTCCATGAAGCGGCTGACGTAGCCCACAACGAACGCAATGTCCGGTCTCGTGTGGACTAAGTAGCGCAGACCACCGACGATGCTCCGGTAGAGTGTTGCATCTACCTTCGCCGCGGTACTGACCTTCGTCAGCTTCAGTCGCTCCTCCATTGGAGTCACGCACGGCTTGCACTCAGCCATGTCGCTCCGCTCCAACAGCTTCGAGGCGTACGTGCTCTGACCGAGTGTGAGCGCCTCCTTCCCCTGTCTCACCTCGATGCCGAGGTAGTAGGAGAGCGCATCGAGATCGCTCATTCAAAAATGAACCGCCATCTCGTGCTTGAAGCTGTCGATGTCATCCGCACGCACGCCGGTGATGATCAAGTCGTCCACATACACGCCGACGACGAGCTCCTTCCCCCGTCGCCGCGTGTAGAGCGCGTGCTCGGTTACGCACCGTGTGAACCCAAGCTCGCCCAGCGTGGAGTCAAGGTTGGCGTTCCATGCTCGCGGGGCCTGCCGCAGCCCGTAGAGCGCCTTGCGCAGTCAGAGCACCCTGTGCTCCGCTCCCTTGATGATGAAACCCGGAGGTTGCTCGACGAAGACCGTCTCCGCTAGCTCGCCGTTGAGGAAGGCCAATTTTACGTCCAGGTGATGGACGTGCCAGTCCTTCGCTGCTGCCAAAGCTAGCAGCAGTCAGATAGACTCCATGCGCGCTACCAGCGTAAAGACTTTCTTGAAGTCGATGCCCTCGCGCTGGACAAAGCCTTGGGCGACGAGGCATGCCTTGTGCTTGACAATGGTGCCGCGCTCGTCCTGCTTGACCTTGTACACCCACTTCAGGCCGATCGAACGGCATCCTAGAGGTGGATCAACGAGCTTCCAAGTCTCGTTTTCCTCGATCACCTTTATCTCCTCCAACATCGCCCGTCGCCAATTTGCATCGCGCTCGGCCAGCGCAAACGTGGGTGGTTCCTTTACACTGACGAGAAGCAACTCTGGGTCATTGAGCAGCCAACCCGCCAGGCCTGAGGGCCTTGTGCCGTCGATGATGTCGTCCAGCTTGCGGAACTGCACCTCCTCACCGTCGTGGAAGGCATACACGAACTCAGTGATGTCGCTTGAAGGTGAGGCGAACTTGATCGGCGTCGATGGAGTTCCCTGTTCCGCCGGAGTGGTCGACACAGCACCTGGAGTGCTCGACACCCCGACTGCAATGCTCGACACCACTCCTGGACCGCTCGTCACCACTCCTGGAGTGGTCGGCACCACTGTAGGAGTGCTCAGTACTAGTCTTGGAGTGGTCGGCACCACTGCAAGACCTCTTGGCTCCGCTACGAGAGCGTTCAGCACCCGTCCTAGAGTGGTCGACACCACTGCAGGACCGCTCAGCACCGCCTTAGGAGTGCTCGGCTCTGTTGATATAGTGGTCAGCACCTCCTCTCCATCGTCTCCACTACCGTGGATGACCAAGTGCTCGACGACGAATGTGCTGGTGAAGCCACCAGCTTTCCCCTTGCCCGAACTGTCCCAGTCCCAGGCCGCCTTCTCATCGAACACCACATCCCTAGAGATGACCACCTTGCCTCTCTTAGGATCATAAAGCCGATAGGCCTTGCTGCCCTCATCGTAGCCTAGGAGCACCATCGACGTGCTCCTGTTTTCCAGCTTGCCGAGGTGAGGCTTGGTGTTCTTCACATGGCCGACGCAGCCAAATGTCCTGAGGAAGGACACATTCGGCTTGCGTCCATGCCAAGCCTCGAACGGCGTCTTGCCCTTCAGGACATTGGTGGGCGCACGGTTGAGGATGAACACCGCCGTGGTCACCGCCTCAACCGAGAACCTTGCCGGCATGCTCTTGGCCTTCATCATGGATCGAGCCATGCCGACCACCGTCTGGTTCCGCCGCTCCACCACGCCATTCTGCTGTGGCGAGTACAGCGTGGTGTGGTGTCGCACCACGCCCTGATCCGCGCAGTATGCAGAGAACTCCATCGAAGTGAATTCGCCACCGCGATCAGTCCACAGCACGTGCAACTTCTTGCCACTCTCCTCCTCCGCGCACACCTTGAACTTCTTGATCGCCTCTGCCGCCTCGGTCTTGCTTCTCAGAAGCTGCAGCCACATGTACTGGCTGCAGTCATCCACCAGTAAGATGAAGTACTTGCGCCCGCCGGGCGTCGCCGGTGTGATCGGCCCGTAGAGGTCACCATGGACTAGCTCGAGGGTCTCTGCCGCGCGGTACTTCATCGTCTTTGGGAACGGCAACCTTCTTTGCTTCCCGGCCAGGCAGCTGTCACATAGCTCGCCTGCGTGCTCGATGTGAGGCAGCCCAGTCACCATCTTCTCTAGCCGACCAAGAGCGTCAAAGCTGAGATGTCCATACCGGGCATGCCACAACC